CAAGCCAATGAATACCAAATAGAAAAGCCAGCAGATACCCAACGCCACGACCAACTGCACGCCGAACCGACTTTACACCATTCGCATAAAACTGACTATAAAGCTGAACAGTTCCTAGAACTTGACTTTAATAACAACTTGCTGAGCGTGCGGTGCTCTACAGTTTGATTTATTTGAGACTAGATTAACAAATGTGTAAATTTCTAACTAGATTTTGTACTATATAGTGAAGATACTCTAATGAAATGTGATGAAACGGAATACATACTAGTTGGGGATTGCTTGAAATGCTTAATTTCAATAAATAGTGGACTAATAGCAAATTATAGATTAGATTGATTGACTTTCAATAATTTTTAAGTTCGTCATTAGCTCGATTTCGAAACCTGTCAATCTGTAAATCAGTCAATAATTAGGTCTAGCCGCATTTTCTTATTTAAATAAAAGAATAACTAGGATTCAATCAATCAATCAGTCATTTAAACTATCCACATTGATTCAATCAATCAATCAATGAAACAGAGTATTGATAATCCATAATTAAGAACGACCAACCAGGGTTGATGTTGTTAAAACACGAGTTGATTGAGCAAATGCTGAAGTTTGTCTATCAGTCAATCAAGAACATGTAAATTTCTAAATACATAGTCGGTAAGTAGTTAATAAAATTAAGACTAATCAGACTATATATTGAATAGCCTAGCTCTTTCTCTCATTCTCTCTCACATTTTTGTATCGATCAAGCAATCAGTCAGCAGTATTTGCTTTTTGGAATCAATCAGTCAGTTTGGAAGCTCTCAATCAGTATTTTGTAGATATGGAATACTAGATTACTACTAGAGAACTTCGAATGAAAGCTAGCTAACCCTTTAAAGCTATTGCTCAAATATAGTAAGATATCCAACTACACAATGCCAAACAATGGCCAAATATCATTTTACAGCACGACGTCCGCTCTGCCTCCACTGCCTTCGCTGTGCCATTCTTTGGCGCCTAATCAGTTTTCCCTGCTGTGTCTGATGTGCCACAAGCCTCATTAAAAGGCTTTTCCCCAGCTCCAACATGCTCTGCGCTGAGTTCATTTCAATTGTCTGCGAGCGTGTGTGTGTGTGTGTGTCTGTATGAGTCTCCGTGTGTGCCCCAAGTCCAGAGCAAGTCGAAATATTCTCTATGATTCGGTAGACATTCCACCGTTTGCTTCATTTGCCACATTGCTCGCTCGCTGCGAACTGCTTTGCATCAATTCGTCTCTTTTTTGCTTTGCATGCAGCACATTTTCAGTTGCCATTTTGTGGATATTTCGATTTATTATTTTTTATTGTTGTTACGTTTTACGACTTTGCCGGCTGCGAGTTCTCCGACTCTGACTCCGACTCCGACTCCGACTCTAGCCGGATGCTGCGTCAAATCTACAGATATTCTCAGATATTGCCACTTCGTTGGTTTACGGCCCTATTTCTCATAGTCATGCATTTTCCGTAAATTCACCATTGAGACAAAAAGAATTTTATCAAAATATTTACCAGTCGCTTTTTATTGTTCAAGTTAATTTTACCACCGGCTTGCAAAATTAGAAACATACTTCCAACAAAAGCTAGCCTCGTTGTGTATGGACTAGAATTCTTGCTCAATTTGAATTTCGGACTATGAATTTTGGTTTTCAAATTTAACTTTAAGACATTATTCCCATATACAATATTCAATTTCTACAATTTGCATAGATATAAATAACAATATTATATTATAAATTATTATTTCAATTAGAATTCTAGCCCTTATTTTAACTTATCTTCTGCCAACGCTTAATTGATTTAAATTATTTACCATACTCTGTTCACATCTTGATAAGATGAAGATGTCTAAAAAACTATGTTATTATCTATATACATATATACATATAATCTATATGTGTATGTAAGTGCTGCAGTTGGCCAACCTGCGCAGAATGGAGCCCCTATCAAAGTCACTAAAAAGGCGGGTCTTACAAAATATATGTATATGTATAAAAATATAAAAAAGGAGGCCGAGCAATGTAATGCATGCAATTGGCACAAGACTATGTGCACACACACACACACACACAGTGAGACACAAGCTTTTGTACATAAAGGATTCTACGGGTGATGCGCTTCAGGAGCAGCTGCAGCAACACGAACAGCAGCAGCAACAGCTTCGTGTTGCATACAAACTCATAAAAGGCGCAAAAAACGACGATGAAAAACTTTGCTAACGACTTAAACGACGACAAAAACGAGTACGAAGGAGCAACAAAAAAAAGAAGGAGCAAAACGATGCTGGATTCTACCAAAAAAGGATTCGGCTGTAGGAGAGGTAACGGAACAAGAGCGAGAGAGAGCGAGAGAAAGAGAAAAAGAGAAAAAGAGAGCGCGCAGCAAGCATCGAATTGAGAGTAAGGCTGCACTTGGCACAGTAATAAAAGTAATAATGCCAGCAGAGCCAACCAACTATATAGAAAACATACACATCTACATGCCATATATATATATAATGTGCTATATATAGTTTAATGCAGATATATATGTATATGTCTATATATGTATATATATGTATATAGCTGCGCAGAGTTGCAGCTCGTTTATGCGCGTTAATGACATCGTTTACTGGCTAACTGTAAATGTGCGCCCACAAGTGGGTGTGGCGCTTACTGTTGCAGCTGCACTCTTATTGTGGCATCAATTGGCTTCAATAAGTTGGGCGTGGCTAAAAAGATCTGCGGGCTGCAGCCCGCATTTCAAGTAAATGCACTTCAAATGAAAATAATATGCTCTCTGATGTAACAAATAATTGGTTCAGATGTCTTTAACAGACATCGATGTGGGATAAATATATTTACTTGATTTTTCACACAAGTAGGTCGACTAAGAGTTAAACAATTTCCATAAAATAAAGACAGTAAGAGAATAATATATTTATTAATCTCATATAGTATTCAAAAGCTAAACATTGCATTTTGGCTATTAATATTTATCTATTAAGAGCATTAACATTTCAAACCGAATTTCCCATCGCGATGCATCGTCTAAAATGTTAAATCCAATAAGTGCTTAGCTAATTTTTTCTCAAATATTTTTAACTTGTATAAAAGTGGCCTAGCTAATTGGACAATCAACTATTTTTTTTTATGCTGCGGCAACAATAAATCAATTTATTAAATTTATATGCGGCTAATAAAACAATTTTTAGACATAAAATGCAAATAAAGCCAATGACTTCTACAAAAAAAAGTAAATAAAACAACAACAACAATGGCTAATGGCTTAATGACTAAATTAAAAAAATGGCAGCGTACAATAACAACAACAACAACAACAACAACGATGATGATAGATAACAACAACAAGCAGTGCGTGCAAGCTGTTTATATACACGCACACACACACACACACACAGAAATGTGCACATGCATATATACATGCATACATAAGTGCACATGTATACATGTGTACACAAATTATGTAAACTAAACAACAGCAAGAGCAGCAGCAACAACAGCTACACACGCAAAGTATAAAACACGTTTCACACGCACACATACATGCATGGCCGCTTCGCTCACCAATGCAAAACGTGCGCCACACTAACACGAAGCAACAACAACACAGCGCCAACTATTCAGCGCAGCAGTTGCATACAACATAACAACAACAACAACAACAACAACAACAACCACATCAAAGCCGAAAAGGAGAAGAGAGAGAAACATAATAAAACGGGCCAATGACTATGAAGCTCCGCCTACTACGGAAACTACCGACGACGACAGCAACGATGACGACGACGACGGCAGCGCAGCAGCTGCCATTTGTTCAAGCTGTTGTTGTTGTTGTGGCTGTTGGTCTTCTTCCTATTATTGTTGTTGCTCGTGCTGCTGCTGCTGTTACTGCTATGTAGGTAAAAAGAAAAGAAAAAAATGGCAGCGCATTAAGAGAACATAGCGTGTATAGAAGAAACGCAACTAAAACCCGAAGCAGCTGACGAAGATTGGACTAGAAATTGCAGAAAGTAAAGCGACGAATTAGAGCAACCGTTACATTTATATAATATGCATATATCCATGTATACACGTGCATATCTATATATACTTTATTTTAATACATATATGAAACACATTTATAGACGTAGCTCATTTAACTTACCATTGAAACAAATAGATATATTTTCGATTGAATTTTCTATCTGTACAATTATTATTTTAAAAGCATAACGATTATTTTTTAAATACGATAATAAATATTAGGTTTCGTTCTTTCGCAAATTGTTTGAGTCTTGATAATTAATCACTCCTGGACGTAGACACAACTTCCAAAATTGAGATAGATACCTGGTTGCTAAAGTAGTAAAATTATCAATATTGCAAAAAAATATCGGATCTATTTTAGGGGTTGAATAGGCCGTCTCACCTTTTTGCTAAGAATTTATTTCTTCTACATAGCAACCTAACAACAATAAAAAGTCATTTCATTAATGACTCAAACCCCATATTAAAATACACAAAAGCTTCGTTTTTGCGTGCTCAGACAGTGCATGCTGATAAGAGTTAAACAAGATCTTCCGATCTATTTTCCCCTCTGATGATCTCAGCCCGAAGTGCCAATGGGAACGCTTCAGACATTGTTTGTATTAAATTTCATTTTGTGCCTACGTTTTTACCGCCATGTTTACATTCAACATAGCCACGTCTGACAGTTTCGATAGGGTATCATTGGGAACATCGTAAATAACATTTTTTAAAAAGCGCTCGAGCAGCTGAAAATTGAGAATATCAATGGATGTTGAGTATACGTCTGTCTCTGTCTCCAATTTACGTTTATTTATTTATGTTGATATTTCGAATGGGTCTCATTTAAATTGTTTACGGCTTTCTCTTTCCAACTTTGTATTCAATTTCCAGCGGATACTTGAATGTCATGAGAACGCGGGATTTAAGCTAAGATCATCGAATTTCATTTGTAAATCGATTCTGTTTGTTTTATTTGCAGGTCAGGATGTTTTCCTAGACTATTGTCAGAAGCTGTTAGAGAAATTTCGTTATCCGTGGGAGCTGATGCCGCTCATGTATGTGATATTAAAAGATGCTGGTGCCGATATAGATGAGGCTTCGCGTCGCATCGAAGAGGGTAAGCCAAAAGAGATAAACCATATAAACTATTTCTTAACCAACTAAGCTGAAACCAAAAGATTTTTGAACTGTTTATATATACGATATATAACTATAACATATTACCTACATATCTTTCGATCTGGATAGGCCAATATGTTGTCAATGAATACTCCCGTCAAAACAATTTAAATATTTATGACGGGGGTGAGCTACGTAACACAACGCGGCAATGTGGATGATAATTGTTCTATTAATCAATTTGAATATTTTATTCAAAAGTAAAAATCTTAACAGAAATTACATTTTATCTAGTTATATAAATCTCTATATTTTTCGTCAGCTTCAATTTCAATTAAACAAAAAAAAAATAAGAAACATATTAAATATTTAGCTTAAAGCTTCTGCAAAACGCGCGCGAGTTGCAACAAACTAAAAAGTTGGGCTTTAAAATTAAACTAAAAAAAGGAAACACGATTAAATATTAAAAAGCCACTGTAAATATATTCGAATGTAATGTGAGCGAGCAACTTTTACTTGGATAATGTCTTCAATCAACAAACCAAATATACAACTCTTCAATCAACATACTCTGGCAATGATGTCTCCACTCAAACTCTTCAATCAACATACTCTGGCAATGATGTATCCACTCAAACTCTTCAATCAACATACCCTGGCAATGATGTTTCCCCTCAAACTCTTCAATCAACATAACCTTACAATGATGTATCAAGTCAAACTCTTCAATCAACATACCCTATAAATGATGACGATGTCCGGCTACGCTAACTACTCTACAATCAACATACCAATCTACTAATCGCAACTTCTTGTCAAATCTGATTGTTAATGCTCTTTCAACTATCCTCAGATCAACTCTAACAGTTAAGATGTGCTAGTAAATGCTTATTCGAACGGTTGTTTAGTTTTAGTTCAAAGATCTAACATCAAGGTTTGTTTTAAGTTAGTTTAAGTTTAGATGGACCTCACACCATAAGCAACGTCAAATATAAATAAATAATTAAATATGAAGAAAATTGAAATTTTAAATTTTATAGCACCATAGTTAAGATCTAAGCACACAGCAAGTTTGCTGTATCAAAAAAGATAAACTCGATAGAGAATTTCAGTTTCTTTGCTTATGTGGTCCAGCCTAATCCAAATTCTAGATTATTTAAGTTTTGTAAGCTTTAATTTAAATCTAAAAATTGTTTTAAATTATTAATTAACCTATTTTCTAAATTAAAATGGAACTTTTCAGATCTTTGGTAAACCTAATTGAACACACTTATAAATCTATCTATAGAGTTCCAAAGTTCCATAAGATCTTGGCTAATAGAATAACAGAATTTGAATTAGCTTAAAATACCTAAATAGTTTCAATATTTATACTATGTAAAAATACAGGAACTTAAGATATTCAGTCTTGCTAAATACTATATGTTTATATAATGTCTAACGATATACAAATTAATTCAACAAACTATGTATAAATACTGTTATCGATTTAAGCAGTTCATAATGCATATGCCAAGTTACAAGAACAACAACAACAAAATAATTCTATGTAAAAACAAAATAAAAATATTTTCCTTAAACAAAAGTAAATGGTCAGTATTAAGAGAGAACTTCTCTAGGGATATATTAGGAAGGGGCATCGAGGTAGCTTATAGAAGGTGTATCACCTGCATGATTTTGATTTTGTGAATAACATTAAAAACTGTAACGATTGCTTTCTCAAGTTGTTTGCCATTTCATCAAAGCCGTTACACGTCCTACCATTTCACTTCCAGAGCGGGATCTGGAACCGGAGATGAAGCTGCTATTGCTGTTGTTGTTTTTGTTGCTGCTGCTGTAGCCGCTGCTGCTAGCATCGTAAATGCATCATTAAACCGAAAAATGCATGCGAACAATTTACGACATTGCCAACACCGTCACTGAAAGGCTGCCAGCTTCAGCTTCAGCTTAGCTCAATCCCAATCCCACCTTCCCAGTCTTCGGTCTCCCAAATGGCATTACCATGGGAAAGCTGCCAGGTAGTAGCTACAATAATATTGCAGCATCGTTTGCTGGCACTAAACACGTTCATCCGGGTGGGATGAACAGACGGGAGCAGAGTCTACCATGAACATAGGTAGATGTGTAGACGAAGGGGGTAGGGAGAACGGGGTTTACTTCGAATAGGCAATGCGACGTGTAAATGTGTGCGCTATAAAGCTTAAAAGTGTTTATGCTTGAACAGTTGACGGCTTGACGGTATAAGATGGATACATCAAGATTGCAAAAGCGATTTAGAAACGAAAAGATGTTAACATCTATTGTTCATAGCTATGAGAAATCTATAGGCAGCTTATCAAGGTAATTTGTGTAAAAAGAGTTCATAGAATTTGAAACATTATCAAAAATGATGCCATTGCCATTTGATAAAAGTTTATTAAACATATTATTCTTCTCTCTATTTTCTAGCTTTAGTTTCTCCCATTATTGAACTCTTTATTCGTGGCTGACCTTTCGTAAGCCCATTGCTCACAGCTCGTTGCTTTTGCTCACACTATTTATAATACTTTACGCCCATTTAGGCAAATGAGTCAGCTTACGGCAGGTTTTATGACACATTTCTCATTCTAGTTTCGGTCATATTTTTAAGCCCTGTCTTTGCTATGTAAACCCATAAAATAGACTTTTTGCGAGAGCGAGACAGAGAGAGACAGGCAGCTCATAATGTGGCAAGTATTTTAACCCTGCCCTCGGGACCGAATACTCCAAATTCCTTTAGCTTAACAGCAGAGCAAAACAAAAATAAGTATAAAGAGGAAGACATGGTTCTATTTGCCAATGCTTATTAAATACTATAGAAAAGCGTTGCCAACATCAGGAACTGCAGCAACAAACAGCAACAACGACAACAACCAGCAACGGCAGTAGGAAGCGAAAAATTTCAACTTTACGACTTCATATTGTGGGCGGGTCGTAAAAAAATGTGCAGCGTCAACTGCCAGGGCCAATACAGCACTTGTACTCATACTACTGACATTTTACGGCTCGACAAGTAACATGCATGCCCCAACTAGTACCAGACATCAGATATACCTACATATACATATATCTAAGCACTCAGAGAATTTTGCTTGCTAATCAATAAGAAACATTTTAAAACTGGGTACAAAATCCGTTTTGTCAGTGGAAGTGTCAAATTATAGCTCTAAATTACTTGATTCATTGATAATTTACTTACTAAACTGCACTCAAGTGACACACATTTCTCTCAGTGTATTTATATGTGGCATATGTGTAAAGAAAGCGAGTCGTGATATATTAGCGCTGACTGCAGGCAACTCCTTGACTGCTTTGCTTTCTGGCTTCATACTAAGCAGCCAGTTTGTCATAAATGTGGCCTGGACATGGCTACTTCCATTAAATTGACCGAGCTTTAGCTGATTGCCGTTCCTGTTTCAGCTGCTCCAGCTGCTGCTGGTGGTGCTCCTTGTTGTCATCTGCTGTCGCCTGCTAACCCAGTGAAGCGTAAAGTTATTGCCAAGGTTTTGTGGCCTGCAAATGTGCTGATTAAAAATGGCTGCGAGGCACGGGGGTGCTTAACAAGGCGAAACACTACAATTTCCTGGCACTTACCTTAAATTATTTCCACTTTTAACTCAAAACATAATCACACAAAACTTTAATAGAAATACGCGCGATCAACTAATTTGGTGCTGCCACATGTCCTGAATTCATGACTGAGTGGGGCCTGCCAGATTGTCTACAAATAAATTTTAAAACTTTAAAGTTTTAAAAATTAGGCCTAGGCTCTGTAATTTACACAATTTAAAAATGTGTATATATATATATAAATACATATTGTAATTGTATTGTAAATTTGTGAAAATTAATTAACAATAATAAATAACAATTATTTTTGTGAACAGCGTGGCAGCCTCAAGCGTTATGTTGGCTGCGCCGCCCACTTACAGAATTGCGCCATAAAATCAATGGGGTCACCTTTATATTTGAAGTTTGATAAACATGCCATGGGGTCAGCTTTTAATTTAAATTTATCTGTGCAATATGAATTTAACAGTCGTGAGTTAAAATCGGAGTCCAATAGATAAAAATAAACGAACTTTTACCTATCCAGCTGCCCGAATGCTTTCTCACAGAGCTTTGACCTGCTGTTCAAGTTGCACTCACTTAATTAATCCCAGCCCTGCACAAATTTTAATGTACGGGCTTGTTCAGAGTTTACGACTTTTTATTTCGGACTGGCATTAGTATGGGTATTAGTTGTTACCCAGGTTCTTTGGTCAAATACATAAATGCTAGGCTAGAGTTCACGTACATCTCTCTGTATGTGCGTATGACGTTTAGTTTGGGCCAGGCCCCTGGCCTGTGGCACACTCGTGCGTAATATTCCCGTGTGCCTGCCTGGGCTCTGTTTAATGCATTCTGCAGTTGGCGGAAGAAAAAATCCCATTAAAATTAAGTAAAATTGCAGCAGCAGCAGCAGCAGCAGAAACGTAATCGTAAAAACTTGGCATTTTGATGTTGCAGCAAGCAGTAAAATTTTGAAAAGTTTTTGCCACATAGATAAGTCGATGTGGGGGCTGAAGCTGGTGCTGAGTGTGAGGTGTTGGGTGCGGCAAACAAAGGTTCTGCCTCTTACGGGGGTTGGGCTTAACAGAATGGGTTCATTGTGTCCGTGTGAGCGTCTGCCTGCATGTGTGTGTGTGTGTGAAGGTTGCACATAAAGTGCATGCCACAACGATCAATGTGTGTGTGTGTGTGTGTGTGTATGGGTACCTTGGTCCGGGACATAGACTTTTAGTGCCCGGGCATAGTTAATGTTATGGCTTCAATAGTTTATAAGTTATGTGCTGAAAAGTGTGAAAACCCAGCGAAATTTAACGATATAAGTAATAAACTCGTCTACGTGCGAGGGCGCACGCATATGTATGTATATACATATAAGCTTTATACATATACATTTTTACATACATATTTCAAATCGCAATGAAATAACTTTATCAGCATGTTTCCAATGCAGTAGCAGCTGCTGCTGCTTCGGCTGCTATTTGGTGATTGTGTGGCGCCATCTAACGACGCCAGGCTGACCATATTTCACAATAATTTATTGATATGACATTTTGTTCGTCTCCACAGCGCGTGTAGAAATAAATCGAATTGTAGCGCAAATCTATTACAACTACTACACACCCATGGCCATCGGGCTGCATACGAGCGCAGGGCCCATGTACCTGACCTACCCGAGCATCGAGCGCTATGGCACCCATTTTACACACCTGCCGCTGACACAGATACGGCCGCCAACACCCGAACCGCTCGCCCTCAGCCAGACGCCGCCCAGCCCAACAAGTGCCGGCATTCCAGCATCCCAGCATGCGCATCAGAAACAATCGTCGCGTCCCGCCAGCAGCAATGGCACCCCACAATCAGCTGCCTCGCCCGCTCCGGTCACGACCGTGACCACGATCACAGCGCAAGGCCATCATGAGCAGCGTTCGCGTTCCGGCACGCCCACAACCCCGCCGCCGGCTCACAGCAGCAGCAACGGCGCCTACCATCACCAGCATCACCATCACCATCACAGTCATCATCATGGCCAGCATCTGGTCAGCTCCACCTCCGCCGCAGCCGTTGCGGCAGCAGCAGCCGCCACGTAACAGTATCGCCATGTTGCTGCCGCTGCGGCAGCAGCTGCAGCAGCTGTGCTCTTTGTGTAAGTAAAAGCCAATCAAGCGGAATTCAATTGTTATGAGGTAGAGTATCCAATAAACCTAATAGCTATATGTGCTCACACTTAAGTACAGTTGCCTCCGATACGCAAAGCAATCGAAAAGGCTGAACAAATTATGTATAAAATTTAAAATTTTTTTAAATTAGGTAGACAACTGAATTGAATTAAGCGGACTTGACTTCTTATTTTAATCTTATTGAATATTGATCTTGAATATTAATATGATATAACATTTAATATTAACACACAAAACTATTTTATTGCTATAAAAATTTATTTTGCGGTTGCCTTACTCTTCTTAAAAACAAACAATTTGTTTTTATATATACATACATAGCTGTTCTTGGTAAATGGGAGTCAGGAAAAAATAAGAAACGAGAAAAACCTATCCAATTTTGGTTCTTTATTAAAATTTTAAGTAAGGAAGCGTATATTGAATTTATATAGAATCTGCAGAGTATTTCAAATCGAAAGTAGAAAATAAATTTCACTGCATCACAAACTCATATACCTTTTCCCAGCTATATTGTTCAGCAAAGAGTATTTCAGTCTCGACTTGCCTGGAATTATTTGGATATTTTCTCTTGAAACCTATTTGGCATGCAGGAGCTGACGTGCTGCCTTTAATCAAATCAATTTCGCAGCATAGTTTTATGTTTACAATTTAAGTTGGTTGCCTGCCACGCTTGCCGCTTGCAGTTTTCATTTCCATTTCCGGCGGCTGCTGCTTGCATTTCCGGTCTGCGCACGAAAGTATGCAATGGCTTTTTCATCATTTCGCCTGATGGCTGCAACGTGGCAACAAAAGCTGCTGCAGCTGAAAAGCGCACACAAACAATTCCTCTTGGCTGCCACACTTCAGGCCACATGCCCCACTCCCTCCCGCCCCTCCACTCTCCTCTACACTCCTCACTCGATGTGCGCACGTCTCTTGCTTTTGTGCTGACAATTGAAGCAATTCGCCTTGGCCAATTGTTGTTGTTGCTGTCATTTAATTTAGGGGCAAGTGTTAAATTTCCATGCTGGCTGGCATTTTAGTTTATATTATGCTTTCAACATTTTGTTGCCTTTTGTTTCAAATGCTCTTTCGCTTTAATTAAAAACTCAAGTGGCGTCAGGCGAAAACAGAAGCGAAGAACCTTGGTAAAGAGGATTCATCTCTGATTTCTCTCATTCAGTCTCAGGCTCCAGCTGCTCCCCACTGCCCAGTTGCCGCTCGGCGCATTTATATTTTGCTGCCACAAATATCATAATGTTTGCTGCCACACATCAAAACTTTTGCACACACAAATTTTACGATGCCCAGCGAACACTTCAGAATGCATATTTCAATGTCTGTCTGGTCGAAAGGTAATAAAATATACGCATTTTGCAACAAAACGCAGCATCTAAATCTTGTCTAGAACTGTTCAGTTTCCGTGCTATCCTTCGATTGTTTGTGCGCCCTTTCGGCACATTAAAACGCCAACTCCAACTCCAACTCCAACTCGACTACAACTACGACTACGACTACGACTCATCTCATCTCATCTCTTCTCTTCTCCTGGTGGCATTTCGCATCAAAGGCGCATCGTGAGTTTTTACGAGTGCATCATAAAACTGGCAACGCACGAGAGCAGCGGCTGCTGCGTGAAAATATTCTTTTTATTCTTAACTTATATAGTTGAGGTTTTCCTTCTTTATTTATTTTTTTTGTTGTTCTCATCTTATGCTACTTCGTCGCCTGCCTCTTCTTCTTCTCTTTCTACATATATAGCATGTCCAAGTATTTCTGTAAGCCTAGGCAGAGGGCTATGCCACTCACTTTTGGCTGCAATTAAATTTCGCTCTGCGAACTACAAAGTCAAACGACTAAAGTCAGTGCTGCCAAATGCTGCGAACTCCCGTCAAATCTAGCCCTTTTTTTTAGTAGTACAAGCTAAGTTAGCTTTAATGTATTCCATGAATAAATAATGAATTGAAAATGGTTGAAAACAGAATTTAAATTTAAATTTTGCTAGTTTATATTATCTGTGTTGAGCTAAAATAAAAATTGCAAATAACAAATATGAATTAGAATTATAAAATTTATATCTATATTGCGTCCATCTCAAAATTCTGCACAATTTTTATAAATCTATATATTTTCATCTATATATTATGTTACTTAAACGAAAACTTTGATGACTTGGTTTCCGCTTTTAATTTTTTATAGACTCAAAAACAAGTCCAATTTTTTTTTTGCTTCGCAATAGTTTGCAGCTTTTGCTAAGTTAAGGATCAACGTTAAGCCAATATCAGAATTCATTTAATTCGTGAAAAGAGTTGAAACGCATCAAGCTTATCGGCCACTGAGCAAAAATCAACAATAATTATTCAGCGCGGTCGTAAAAAGTGGCAAACAATGCGAAAATTTTATGAGCTGCCCAGGCTCCCTCCTCAGGCAAAGTAGCTCCAAGCAGCTTCAATTCCTTGGCTGCATTTCATTTGTTTCACCAATACACACACATAGAGAGAGAGAGAGAGAGAGGGACCGATATCCTAGCGATTCGTTTGACTGCTGCTTCACCTGTTTCCCCCCCAGGGATCGCAATAAATGCATAAGTTTCCATTTAACGATATTTTGTTACCGTTTCGCACACCTTCTGGTCGTCGTATAAAAACGTGAAATGTTTTCTATTTTCATTTCATTTTCCGCTTTTCGTTGAATACCAGTGTGTGTGTGTGTGTTTGTGTGTTTGCGCCAAGCCAATTTTCTTCATATCCGAATTGTTTTCAGCATTTCGCTCGCCATCCATTCACGAATGTGTCGCCTCAACAAAATAAAATTTAGTTAATTATATATACTACCTATAGCTACATATATGCAACTGAATGATCTTGGCTGTCAGCCAATGTGACAGCAAATCGTTAAAGACTTTGACGGCATAAGCACTTAAAAATCTGCGGCATTAATAATTTTCTATATACAATATGTGACATGGATATTTAAAACTACATATATACGTTATATATCGATTGATCTACATATATTGCCATCTTTATCTATATCCATATATGTATATCTAATTTTTTAACTTCGTAATATCGCATTGATTGACTGACTATGTTAATTATAATCTTGGCAAATACTTGTGAATATAATTGACTGATGAACTGACTAATTAATTATGATGATAGTGTTAATGATGAATTGATAAGAAGAAATGCTGATTGATTGCTGGTTTTAATCTAACTAATAACTGCTACTACTAACTGCTTGATTGATAAGTAAAAGTCCAAAAAACTTACAGACTGATTGATCAATGTTTACCTAACTGACTGACTAATTGATTGAATATTTTACTTGATTCAATTATATATATTTTTTTTTTATTTAACTGCTCAGTACAAAATGATTGATTGATTACAATAATTATACAGACTGAGTGACTGATTGATTGACTGATAAAGTTACTGATAAATTGACAGAGTGGTAAATAAGGCATTTTTTATTATTTATGACTGACTGATTGAGTGATTGATTCACATCTTTTTGCTGTGCTAAAATGTGATTGCCTAATAGCCTGGAGCAAGTTAGAAGGTTATGCATCAACAAACTGATTGATTGATATTGATTGATGTCTTCATTATAATACCATGGGAACATTTTTGGTAATTCTGTTAATCTTTCATTCATTTTCTCTTTTAAGGCTGCACAACTTTGTATCGCGCGAAGATCAGCCCGTAGCATATAAAGCAGCACTCCTATCCTTAAAATAAGATATATATATTTATTCTGCAAAAATAAATCTCATACATTATTTTGTATATATTTTGTGCTTTTGTGTTGTCGCACAATTTCCGCTGATTTCTAATTTCCGTTGAGTCGTCATTAAAAAAATGAAAAAAAAAAAAACGAACTCAAACAGCAAATCCCTTATTTTTTTAATGCCCTGCTCCTCAGTCATCAACGCCGAGCGTCATGGGGCCCCGTCCTCGAGGTCGGGGCGGACCATAATAAATGCAATGCTTGCCATAAAAATCAAAATAAAAATGAAAAGAAGAAGGAAAAAAAAAAACAACTTAAGAATAACAAAATACAAAAGGAAGAGAAGTTATAGTTTTTGCGAGCGAGTTTCGAAGTTTCAGTTTCAGCTTACGCTGCTCAAATTTCGTCCCGTACACCCCTCTCCCATCCGCCCGATCCCCTCTCCACTCCCATCTAGAATATTATTCGGCTTGTGTTTATTGTTGTTCGCCTTTTTCGTTTGGTTTGCGTGTTGGGCGCTCTCCGGTTTTTATGGTGCCACGTTACGCCGTTTTTTTGTTTTGTTTTGTTTTTAGTGGACACGCATTATTAAAAAATAAACAATATGTATATGATGTGAGAGAGTAGCTGCCGAGGAGACGCAGTGCCCAGTGGCGAACCCAGAACCAAAACCAGCGACTCGAGTAAAACGCGCCTGCCCCGCCCCGTTCTGCAGCACTCGTTCAGCTACTCATTTTTCAGTGGAAAATTTTTGTGGCGATCGTAAAAAGTTGAGTCGAGCAAATAAACAGAACGAGTATCGAGTACTGCATGTGAAATAAACAACGAATGAAATATACTCTATAAAGAAAATTGAGAGCTGAAGCTGATGATAGAAGGACAAATATGGCATTCGATATATTATCCAAATTAATTATTTGTTTAAGCCAATCGCTATCAAGTACAATCCATTATTAATATATATAATATATTAACATGTTTTTTAGTACATGTCAGTGAATGTATAAAGAATGCTGCGCTTATCTTAATCATTTTCATGTGAACTTCATTATATTTTCATTGTTTCAGAAACAACATTAAACATAAAATATTTATTTAAGATTTAGCTCTACACTAGTGAATACTTTATATTATTTCCCAGTTATATATATTCATATGAATTCATATATAAACCATGCGCATGGCCTTATAAGTCGTAGGTACCCCAAGTCTATGAAGGGTATCCAAGCACTAATAACTCAATTGTCGTTTTGAGACCATGTACTTGTCGGGCAGCTCAAGGAAATGCGCATATAGAAGTGGGATCAATAGAATAGAATAGAAACATTTGCTAACAAGGCAGCACACAATAGGATCATATAGGACTTATTCTTTTGTGCAGACATTCGATGCAGTTGGAGTGGTTTTCAATGTTCATTCAGACATTCATTTGCAATTAGTTCAACGGCGACAATTGAAAATGAGCCGTGGTCAAAGTTGATGGCTGATACGGCCGTGGCTGCTGCTGCTGCGGCATTATCTTAAAGTGCATCATAAAAATCACATTTGGCATTATAAAAGAAGTAAGAAAAAGCGAAAAACAAAAAAAAAGTGAAGAGTGGAGATAAATGCAGCTGCGCCTGGAATCAGATATAAGCCAAGCGAAGCCAAGCCATGGGCAGCCTGGACGCCGTCCTGTTCCGTCTTCGCTTTGCTATAAAATTTGGTTTTACGAGCTGCTTCGCGTTCTCATTTACCTTCTCGTCCTGCTGGCCCAGGTGAGCTCTGGCGAGGATTGTGTGCTTTGGCATTACAATGATTTTAATGCCTTTTATGGGCCAGAGCAAGAGACATTGCACCCATATGGGCACGCCGCTGGGATTATGGGATTATTCGACAGGGCGCTCGTTACCATTAAAAATGGTTTTATGCCCCAAGACTCGGCCATACCAAAAAACTAAAAATCATATATTGAATTTTAAGCTAATTGCTAAGCAGGCAGGCCCCTAGAGCTTGTTTCCCTTTTACGATTTTACGTTTCAACTAATACATTTCGCCCATTTCTCTTCCACTCTTCCACACTTTAGCGATAATTAATTAACAACTGGCTGACCTTGGAGGCCGGGCGACGATATTTCAACTGAACTCGACTACAACTCCTCCGTGGTATAGATCTATGAAAATAATATTAATATTAATAATACTTATAATTATATTCATTATTATATGATAAACCCACACACACACACACACACACATAGACATTGTTTTGCTCTAAACTTAAACTATGACATGCATGCAAATATGATAGCGAAATCTGTAATACCCTGTAAGAGCAGAGGTACTCCAGCCTAAAGAATATATATTCAACTTGATCTCAACTTAAGTGTAAAGCAAAGGTAATCAAAATCAAAAATGCGCTGCTAAAAATCATTTAAAAAATATATATACATATTTATAAATACATATATAAATTATATAAACAGAGTACAGTGAAAGTTCTCTAGGGCGAACGGATAAGAAATCACGGCAAATTGGTAAGACAATTATGAGCTATAGAAATATTCAAATTTGAATGTCTGTTGTATATTTTTTTGTATATAAACTTATTAAGAAAAAAAAAAAAGAAACAATTTTAAAAAAATGTATTTTATTAACTTTGAAAAAGGAAGGACTATAAGGCAACTTTATATAACGTTCGCTCTAGGCAACCTTCACTGTACTTTTGCATAATAATCTGAGAGCGCTGTTAAATAATCAAGACTTTTAATCCGAGCAATCACACACACAACTTAATGATATCCTAGTCCTAAGTCCTGGCACCACAACATAGAAGAAGCACCGTTTAATAGATTTGAAGAACATTTGGATAAATAATATTATATGTGCATAATACTTGATATATGAGATTACAAAAGCTTGCAGCAAAAAAATATTTACTCTAATTTTAAAAACGAAATTTTACATTTCTATTATTGTTTTATTTCTATTAATAGTTGTACCCATCTCAACAAAATGTTACATTTCCTTGGGCTGTGCACTGTCGTGTTGGAAAGGAAAGCAGGCAGTTATCAATTATATAATTCCTTTCTTTTTTTTTTAACTTTAAGTAATTTGTTTAGTTAGGTTTTTACAAAACATATATATAAAGTAATATATTATGCGTATTTGATTGTGTGTGTGTGTGCGTGTTACTTAAGATTGACATGAACCAAAAAAGTTATGCTATTCAAATTGTAGTTGAATTTCTCATTCATTTCTTTTGTATTTGCTTAAATAAAAGAATTTGCTTTCATCTAAGTAAATCAATTAAACAATTAAAAATTAAACACTTAAATTTAAATGCAACTCACAAATTGTATCTTAGCTTAGGTCTAAATGCAAAAATCATAAACAAATTTTAAATGCTTCAAAAATAAAAGTTTCAATTGAATAAACAGATTCGTTTCGCTGTAAATCAAAATACTTTTAATGGATTTTCAGTTTTCGGAATGCCTCGTAATACCCAGTCTTCGCTTTACATGCCAAAGAGACCCTTGAGATCGTCAATGGTCAGCTTGGTGCTGACCTTGCCGGTTAGCACGCCATCGGCCAGCTCAAGCTTGCGATCCTGCAGTGCTTTGATGCGCTGCTCGACGGTGTCCACGCATACAATCTTGTATATGATAACATCTTTCTTTTGGCCAACGCGATAGATGCGATCCTGGGCCTGCGCCTCCAACTGTGGATTCCAGTGCAGATCGAGCAATATCAAATGATTGGCACCAATCAAATTGAGTCCAACACCGCCAGCAGTCAAAGAGAGCAATAGTATGCGATTCGAGTTGTTTGGATCGTTGAAATCGTTAACAATATCCTGGCGATTCTTGACAGGAATGGTGCCATTTAGCGACAAGGACTTTAGCTTCTCCTTCTCCAGCAGGTCACGAAAAATGTCCAATACCGATGTCCATTGGGACACAACGATAGCTTTGTCCTTGGTCTTCAGCACGTTTGTCTTCAGTATCTCCAGCACCTTCAGCAATTTGGTCGATGGACGTTTCAGGTTGAAAACCGGATTGCTGCGCTTCAACACATTCTGCGAGGCCTTGGCAATACGCATATCGTCGCCACTGCGCCTGCCCTGGCTGGAACGACGCGAGCCGGTTGAGCTGCTACTATCATTAATGGTCATCTTGTTGAGCTGCGCCAGCAAATCGATTTCCGGCGTATAGCTGTCGCTGTCATCGTCCATTTTGCCAGTGCCCTCCTCTTCCAACATCTGCATATGAAACCAAAGAGAATTACACAGGATCACATATATGAAAACACAGAGCTTACCGAGTCTATGAGGCCAGGATGACAGCATATCTGTCGGAGGCGCAGCAACAGCACCAGAATCTCATGCGACTTTACCTCCTTGTTATGGCCAGCCATGCGCGAGAATTTCTCATGCATTTTATAATAAGCTCCATTTGGATCTTTGATCTGATTGTAGGTGGGTTTGCGTGCGTCATTAATGAAATTGGCATCCGAGTCCTTCTCGGCACGCTGAAACAGAAACTGTGCGAACAGCGTTTGCGAAAAAGCCATGACCTTCTGATAGACATTCATCTCATCCGTATCGAGATGCATTTCAATCAAACGAACTTCCTTATTGGGCAAATTGCTCAGCTTGCCATCCAGCTGCAGCTGCGCCTTGGTCCGTCTCAACATTATGGACTTCATCAGCAGATTAAGCCGATCCTGTCCGCCGGCGCTCTTGTTATCGATCCATTTCTTCCACGTGGCCAGATCATCAAAGGGCGAGCACCGCAAGAACTTGAGCAGGGCATAGACATCCAGCTCCTTGTTCTGGATTGGAGTGCCCGTCAGGGCCCAGCGATATTTGCCAAGCAGCTCGCTGACTGCTATCGAGGACTGCGCCTTGTGATTGCGCACCACATGCGCCTCATCCAAAATAATGCGACGCCATTTCACACCAATCAATGCCCCATTCATTTTGTGCTCCCGGGCAACAATGTTGTATGTGGTTACCACGATGTCGTAGGTTCGTAGATGTTTGCCCTTCGACTCACGATTGTTGCCATGATGGACGCAAACCGTTAGTTTATGACGTGACAGCTTGGAGGCCACCTCGCCCTCCCACTGGCGCAGCAAGCTCGCGGGACAGACCACCAGGGTGCCGCCCTTATAATCTAAAGAGCAGAAATTAAGTTTAGAACAAGAGTTAAGCGAAGATAAAACACATTTAATACTCTTGCGGACAGAGGAGAGTATAAGACATAACAACTGTCAAGACATAATATTTAGACACCCTTAACTCTATAAAGTACTTACGATCCTTGCGGCCCTTGGAGGTCCAGCCGCCTATGCTCTTGCGCTTCTTGCCAAGGTCTTCGTCGTCATCGCTGCTGCCAGAATCGGCGCCAGCGCCGCTCTCCTGCTTATTCTTACAAGCAAGCACCAGGGATATCATTGTCAGCGTCTTGCCTAGACCCATGTCATCGGCCAAAATGCCACCACGTGGACGCTGCGACTCACGCCAGAACATCCAGGCGAGCGCATGCCTCTGATGATCCATCAGCTTCACCTTCAAGCCCTTCGGATCGTCGGCAAGCACATTTTCTGCCGGACAGCCTTTCAGCGACCCATGCAAATCCTGAAAGCAAATAAAGATGCACATGAGAGTCTAGCTCAATTAGGAACTAAGAAGAGGCTGTGCTGCTGGGTCAGAGGTGTTTGTGTGAGGATTTTAATCAGCGCGTGTCAATGTTATGCGCCCGCACAGTAACTCGTGCCCAGGCGCCAACAATCACGGCACGCGTTTCAGATATCCATTCTAGCAGAGATCATCATGCAAAAAATAAAGAAGAAAAAACCTATGCTGAGCTGTACGTACCTTGAGGGAATCTATTGTGAGCGCCTTCATCGCATTGAACGTGGCCAAACCTTTGGCGCCCGTGTGCGTGGGCTGTATTTGGTTTACGGCTGCGGACAGCTGATCCCAGTTGGGCGCCTCGTTTTGCGGTGGACGTGGATTTGAGGTGCGCGGCTGGGTGACCTTTATTTGTGGCTTGTCCTTCATTACGGCGAGACCATTTAGATACTTCTTTTTAATTTCAATATCCTGACGCAGTGCTTCGATCCGCTTCTTAATCTGAGTGCCCTTGTCGGGCAGCTTGTGAGCCACCTTCTCGTACAGCTTCTCTGCCTCGTTTAGCTGAACGCCCATTTCGGACATTTTCCGCAACTCCTTGTCATAGAATTCACGCGACACCTGCTGACCCTGGACGCTTGCCCGCCTTGATGGGGACTTCTTAATGGCCGCCTTGATGGTGGGCTGTATTAAATTGTTGCCTGATCGCACTCTCGGTGCTTCGGAACTGGTGCGTGGAGAAAAGCTGCGCGATCTGCGATTCGACGAAGACGTCGATGGCTGCGGTGCATTTTCCTTATTGTAACTGTCGTCGTTATCGGTGCTGCTGGAGATTTCAATGGGCGTCTCCTTATTACTCAATATCAACACATCGCTGCCGGAGGAGTCGTTGGTGGGCGACTTGGGCAGTATCTGTTGATGAGCAATCGGAAACAAGGTCGAGTGCAATGTTTCCTCAATGCTGCTCACAAATTGGGTGCTGTAACGTGGCGAAGGCATGCCAGCATCGGTGGCCCGACGATAGCGATCCGCAAGCGCCTGTTCACGCTCCACTTCCTCATCGAAAGTCGAATCTGTTTCATGTATACTGCCACTACTATTGACTATCTCCTGCTCAGGCAGATCCGATAGCCGATTTTTCGAATGCTGCTGCTCCCTCTCCTCATCGCTGTAATCGATCTCGCTGGAGCCATCACTTAGATCGTCTGGCCGCACACCCGTAATGCTCATGCGCGTGCGCGGCGACAGTGCACGCTGATCCAACTCATCCTCCTCATCGCTGTCAGAGTAAATAACAGCTTTGCGGCGTGCTCCACCCAGCTGTCCCTTTCTTTTTGGCTGGCCCAAGTCTGTATCGTCAGAGCTCGTATTCGAATCCGAATCCGCAACAGTCACATTGCTAGTGCCGCTATAGCGACGACTGGTAGCTGCGCCACGGCCAGCGTTGACGCTGCTACGGCTTGAGCGTCCTTGTGGAAAACAAGATTTGCTGTATTTTTCTTTTGTGTATTCAAATCAATTTTAACTATTTTGCTTACCTGATGTAGTGTTGCTAACGACATCGTCCTCGTCGCTGTAGTACTCCTCACTTTCGCTGCTCATTTATGAATATGAATGTTGTGTTTCTGAGGAATATCACGCTGCTCACAACAATTTGGGCGCCAGTAAATTTCAACAATGTAGCTGTAAGTGTTGCCGCTCTTTGCGAAAAAAAAAACGGCTACAGTATTGGTATTTTATTGGTAAACTAACGCTGTTTTGCTCATAGCATCTGGTCACACTGCAGACGAATAGGCAATTTGTAATGTACCGCCGCTGTGATGATGCTGCTACACACCTAAAAAAAACCAGCCTACTGCCATCAAAATACTGAAAATAAATAACGGTGCTGCCTTCCAATAGCGACGCTATCACTAGGTAAGATTTCAGCATTACGGTCACACTGCATTTAAAATACGGTTATATTTAAATTAATAATTATTGAAAATTCTTTATTATGAAAAATCGAAAGAAATGTAGAAACAAGTGAATGTTGAGAAGCAGCCTGTGCTTACTTCTTAATGATTGCATTAACGGCAGCCACAATGTGACGAGCAGAAATGCCATACATGTCAACCAATACGGCAGGTGGGCCAGATCGCGGCACGGTGGGCACAAACAAATGTTTCACCACGAAATTACGATGTTCCGCCAGAGCGCTGAGCACAGCTTCGCCCAAACCGCCTTGTCTGTAGAAAGAAAACGATATTAGCAAGGAAAGCTTTGAGCAGATGACAGGTGCTACACTTACTGATAATGATCTTCAACAACAACCACACGTCCTCCGCACTGTTTGCCCTGCTCCACAATCAGCTCCACATCGAGTGGCTTGACGGTGAAGGGATCGATGACACGGGCCGTGATGCATTCCTTCTCCAGCTGCTCAGCAGCGCTAATACACTCGTCCAGCGTAATGCCGGCGCCAATAAGGAGCACCTCATCAGACGGCTTCTGGCGCACCACACGGCCGCGTCCAATAGCGAAAGTGTCGTCGTTGTTATAGATGACACAGGTCTCGGGACGCGACGTGCGGATGAAGCAAATTCCCTTTGTATTAGCAGCCAGCTCGACGGCGCGTTCAGTGCTCACCGCATCCGAGGGATAGAAGACAGTGCTGCCGGGTATGGCGCGGAACATTGCAATGTCCTCCAGACCCATCTGTGAGGGACCGTCTTCGCCAATGCTGCAGCCACAGTGCGAGCCAACGAAATTCACGTTCGTCTGCGAGATGGCGCCCATGCGAATCTGATCGAAGGCGCGAGTAAAGAACGTGGCAAACGTAGAAACAAATGCCACAGTGCGCCGACGGCAAGTGGCGCCAATAGCCACGCCCACCAGATTCTGTTCGGCAATGAAGCACTCAATGTAGCGCTCCGGATAGGCGTTCCGAAGCCTATCGGAGTACGTTGAGTTCTTTGTGTCGCCGTCCAGGGCGATCACACGATCATTGTCGGCCGCCACCTTGGCCAGGGCCGTGCCATAGGCCAGACGAGTGGGCACCTTATCGCCAAGCTTGTAGTTGGGCGGGGCGCACAACTTGATGTTGGTGATGTCCACCTCGGGCGCCAGACTGCCCTTGCACATCTTCTTGGGTGTCAGCTTGACATTGAGATTCACGATTTGGCTCTGCAGAGACTTTATCACGCACTCCGCCTTAGCGCCCAATGCCTTGCCATGCCAGTTCTCCAAATCCTCAATATCCGGGAAGTCCTTGCCCTTCAGCGTCTTCGCGATGATGGCTGTGGGTTTGTTCTTCGTGACGGACGCACAGTGGAAGGCCTTGCACAACTCCTCTACGTCATGGCCATCCACGACAAGGGCATTGAAGCCAAAGGCTTCCAGGCGCTCCCGATATACATCCATCCTGTGCTGCAGCGAGGTGGGCTCCGACTGACCCAACCTGTTCACGTCGAAGATCACGCAGAGATTATCCAGTTCGTAGTGGGAGGCAAAGTGCAGAGATTCCCAGATGGAACCCTCAGCCGATTCGCCATCGCCCACAATCACATAGGTGCGATAATCGGCCTTGTCATAGTTCTTGCCAACGTACGCCATGCCAGCGCCCATGGCCACGCCCTGACCCAGAGATCCGGTGCCGACATCTATGAAATTCAGACGCGGAGTCGGATGTCCCTCCAGATCGCTGTCGATTTTGCGCAAGTTCTTCAGTTCCTCTATGGGAAAGAGACCAGCCTCTGCCCAGGCAGCATATAGAATTGGACCAGCGTGTCCCTTGGACAGAACTAAACGATCACTGGAGGGATCACGTGGATGTTTCATGTTCAGACGCATCTGCTGGAAGAACAGCACCGACATGATCTCGGCCAAGGAACTACATGAGGTCGGGTGACTAAAATGAAAAATAAAACATTGTGCAGGGATTAGTTTAAAGCCTTAAGAGTGCTTAAATATTATATGTTTTATAACGGTTTTAAAAAACAAATTTTTCAAATGCTAAAGAACGAACTCAAGCTCTCTATACAAATCCAATAATGAAAGCATATGAACTTTTAAACGATTAGTCTATTGATAAGATTATATATCCTATACATAGAAATAAATACATATGTATGTATAATATATAAAAAATTTTGGGAATAAATTATTGTGGCATCTAAGAAGAGCAAATATTTTTCTATGGCTTCCAGCTCATTTTAGATACTCTATTCAAGTTTATAAAGTGCATGTCCATGAAATCATTCATATATATATACGTAAATACATACATATATATGTGTGTATGTAATTAACAAAATTTGATATGCTGTGAATACTCCAAAACCAAAATGGAGGCTCGTCTTACCTACCACACAAACATACATACATATGTATGGATGTGTTTCTATGCGATCGTATGTGTATGTATGTATGTGTGTGTTAATATAAATAGATCTTATCGCAGACACATTTTTGTATACATTTGGGCATTGGAAACCGGTTGGTCGATTTTGCACACTTTGCAGAAATAGATCGGCGTGCACAGATACAAGCGTTTGTATATCACATAGACTTAATACAAAAGAGCCCTTAGCGACGTCCTCTGATAAGTAAAGAACTAATGAAGGTTATGTAGAATATTTGTGAGCCGGTCACCTCTATGTAACGTTGAATCGATCATTTCTTGAGCTGACGATCCGAACAACTGTAGGTTATCTGTTAAGCGAGGGGAGAAACAGAAAGGTCGCAAGTATACACACATACATACATATGTACTATACACACATATACATATTAGAGTGTAGCTAATCAGTTAAGTGGAAAACTAAGATGCGATAACAAACGGCAACAGATAAAATCCATTTAAAGTATTTTATGATAAACTCGCGCTGCTTATCGTGCATTTAGTTGAAATGCATAAAGGTCATAAATCCGCCAGATCTCCTAGCAAATTAAGAGGCATTAATAATTATGTTTATATGGTTTTTGTTTTTGTCATTATTATTATTGTTATTATTATTATTGTTGTAAAGCGTTGCCAGCTGGTCTTAAAATTCTAAAAGCTTTCAAGCACTCAAATACATAAGTTTGAAGCTACAGCGGCGCACGCACGCTTTTATTTACACATTCATACACAGCCATACAAACATGTGCGTATAAGAGCGTACAAACTGAATACGCTTAAAATTTACTAACCCATAAGCGATGTTTGTGAAGTGTGTAGTTGTGAAGGTTAAAGAAGGTTAATCAAGAATTTTGTAATTGAACGCAAAATAAATGAACGCAGCTTATCTGCAATATTTTAAATTTAAATAGAATGTGCACATCGAAACGTGAGTTTTTTAGAGCGGCGTTGCATTGGGCAAAACACGTGGCCTGACAGCCTTAAAGCCGGGGTCACCTTTGCAACTTGCGCGACGTTCCAATGTGCAAGGTGCACAACTATTCCTCAGGTGATTGCTTACCCAGACTTAGAGGCCTCCGTCGCATTGATGGAATGAATACGCAGCTTGTGGGCCATATCTTTCAGGTCCTGCACAGTCTTGGCTTCGGGCTTGTGGTACGCCATTCTGAGTTCGATTCGAGTAGTTGGTGGTCTTTGTAAAAGTTTTTGAAAATTGTTGGCTGTTAACCAGTTGGCGAAATTGTAAGTTTTGTAAACGGTATAGCACAATTGTGCCGTTTTGATGGCTCAAGTATCTCTGGTATAGAATCTGTCAACAGCACTAAACCTCTGCAGCCGGCGGCTAGAATCAAACTGCCGACGCTAAATATCTCGTTCTGTATGGAAGCAATTCTGTCTGAATTACGCGACGCTGACGTCGCAATCGCAAGCACACGATGTGGAAAGCTTTGGAGTAGAAACGTGTTCCCTGACGCGGCTTTGTTTGCTTGCAGCTGGAAAGAGATAGAGATATATCCATTAACTTCGACGGGCGCTTCAATCCTAAACGCTGCAGCGTGAGTAAAGCAGGTATCTTTTCGTTAAAATATTAATATTTCATTATTAATTTCTTTCTGCTGCGCACTTTAATATATTTACATGCACCACAATTATTTTCAATGAATTAAAAATGTACGTAAGTGACAATTGCGTTTACACAATGTGTTAATATAAGACTTTGGCTAACAAACACGTATGCCTTCGATAGCTCAGTTGGTAGAGCGGTGGACTGTAGAACGGCAATTGCAAGAAATAGACATCCATAGGTCGCTGGTTCGACTCCGGCTCGAAGGATTTACCTTTTTATGGGAGTTTTTTTTTTTTTTTTTTTTTTTTTTATATTTATTTTATAGTTTCTTATTACTCAATTAATCAGCTCCAAATTATTTGTACGCAGAAATAGAAACACTAATAATTTTGGTTATTTGTAAATTATTATACCGCGTAAAATAAAATGAAATTGTATTTTTTAAATTTGTAGTTCTAATGAATGAAATCTATTTGAAAGTAATGAAATTTGTGAGGCAAAAACCAAAATGATATGCCTACATTGATAAGCAAAATTAAAAAAAAATAAAATAAAATAAATAAAAAATCGAATCCTTCGAGCCGGAGTCGAACCAGCGACCTATGGATGTCTATTTCTTGCAATTGCCGTTCTACAGTCCACCGCTCTACCAACTGAGCTATCGAAGGCACATGGACGGCAGACGCCAAAAAGCGCATTCATAGGGGCTATGATAAAGTGAACTTATGTAGGTGTGGCTCTGCCATCTGCTTTTGGGGGCAAATACAAACAAATTCGGACAATTTAGCGTGTTGTTTTATTCTCGTTATGCGCACAATTTGAAATAGTTATTAATAAATACAAAGAAATATGTAGATCTCTTTTGAATATACATACATCGTTTTCTTTTAATATCATTTTTTGCTTGTCTTATCAATTTAACTAATGCATAAATTAGTTAGCAAAATAGTTAACATTAACAATACATAGTTACATTAAAATTTACATGTTCTTGATTTTGTTTTTGTCTTTTGGTACCAATTTTTTAGACTTTTGCAGTAGCTCTTTGTTCGAAAATGTTGATACTTACTTTTTCTAGTACCCTAAATAAAATGTTCACTATATTTAATATGAATTTATAAAAATAGGCATATGCTCTAAACCATTTACGCTAGAATCAATTTTGTGCACATTTTACAAACGGTTTTGGTTTAACGATTAACAATATTACACTTAAAGCTGCTTGGCGTGCACAGAGATTGTTTTACTTTATTTTTATAGACGAAACGACCCCTTAAGTAGCCAATCGTTGAAATATGTCATACAGTTGAAGTTTCTTGATATTGTACAAGCGGATTTCTAGAAGCTGTTCACATAAATGAATGCATAAATAAAATGAATGCTGACTGGAATCTGCTATTTGACAATAAAAATCAACAATAAATTAATCCTGTATAATTAAAGAAATGCTAAATGAGAGTTAAACAGAAAAAATACACAAAAAATAAATACACTGAATGTGATATCACTAGCTAAGTCGCGATAAATAAAAGCGGTTAATAAAATTGAACATGAAATTATAATACAATAATTATGACGAAAAGGTGCTCGTTGATTGCAGTTTAGTCTAGTGCGATGCCCTGCATCCATGCGCTCAAGTCGCTACCATCGGATTCCATGATGATCTCATCGGGTTCGTCATTAGCCAGCAAGTACTGTGCCGCCGTCCGACCGCTCAAGTAGGCGCCATGTACGGTGGAATAAAAGCTGGAATGCGTGTGCTCGCCGGCAAACACTATGACAGGCTGAATGGAAATAAGTAAGAATTAAAGAATTAATTGGAGTTTTGGCATTACTATGGTACAACGGACCTTTGTGGCCTGCGGGTTAGCATAAAGAGGCTGTGCCAGATTCTCAATATCCTCCTGGGTAGCACCCACGGGTATTGAGGTGTATGCGCCGCCTGTATACGTTTGTGATTTCCAGCTGGTACTAAATGTAAGACCAATTATTAGCATAATTTAATGAAATAAATTTCGGGCAGATCTACTTACCACACACACATTTTGGGTTTGGGTACGTAGGGGTCCTGCAGGAAATTGCGCAGAATTTCTGTGCATTTGTCAGCGACGACCTCATGCGGCAACGTTTCCATATACTCCGCTTCCCGACCCGATACCCAGCCCAAGAGCAGCGTGTCCGTTATCTTGGCAAATGAGTAAATCTTCTTGTACCAATTCTTGCTCAGATAAGCCTCTGTAGTGCTCTCTTCCTCGCTGACAGCATCCTGCTTGTCATCGTCCCAGAGCAGCATCACCTCCGATACGGCCGCGCTGAGAAACGGTCGCTCGTAGACCAAAAAGATTTTGTCCACAGTGCCAAACATGAGATTCTCAATGGATTCCTGTTTGTAGTGCGGCAGCTCCGGATCGAACAGGGTTCGATGCGTTTGCTTCAGCACGCCCAGCGGTATGGTGCATATCACATGCGACGCATGGAACACGCGTCCGTTCTCGCAGTCCACGCGCACTGCGCCCTCAGGCGCAATATCACAATTGCTGCTGGCATTCGACTCTACGGAGGCTCCGCGCATGGCGCTGCTAGCCGCCGTTGGCACTTCCGTTACGGTCTTTTGCGAATCATCGGAATCCTCATTTTCGGAATTCTCGTCGACGGTCTCCAGGCCGGTGAATGTCTTTTTTCGTTTCCAGTGTATCTTTTTCACTGGGCACTTGGTCAAGATGGACTCTTTGGGTATCTGAGCGCTCAGCGGGCGCAGTATAGAACTGTAGCCTGCGGGCAGCACAATATTACCGCCCTGCAGCTCCGTATAGCTACCTGTAAGTGGGATATAAAAAAAGCTTTCAAACTGCTACATAAACACTCCCTTAGTTTGCCTGCTCACCCAGCTCCAGCAAATCCACCTCGTTCATATTATGGCAGCCCGTAATGCAGGTCTCGCGCTTCAGCAGACAATTGAATATCAATTGCTTCAAGCGCTTCTCTTTGGGATCCTGCACCGAGCTGAGATAGATCTCAATCTCATAGTTAATGTGCTCCCCCACGCTGTTGATGTCCGGCGGCGGGCTGTACTGGCAGAGGAAATACTCATCACAGCGGCGTAGAAAGCAGACGTACGCCTCGTAGATCTCCTGCAGTATGCTGAAAGGAACTTGATGCCCATCCTCGGTAGTGGCCACCACTTTGTGCGGCTTTGGTACGTTCACAACGCTGACTAGACCATGATGCACGGCTATTTCGAATATGGGGTTGCCAAGCACGCCGTGAATCCAATTGGCGCCCAGCTCCACCTGGAAAATGTAATTTGAATACACCTAATGTAATCTGATAAAATCACAATTAATTACACGAAAATGAAATTAAACATTCAACGGTTTGACATTTGATAGCATAAAAATAAGTTACACAATATATCGAATAGCCCTAATCTAACTCATTTATAGAAAACCATATTGTATTGAATACCCCTAATGTCGAATTTACTCCCTCTCCTAGCAACTGTCTTTATTATTATAAGTTAACAGATAAAATACAATTTACTTTCCGTTAGACTAGATAAGAACTGACCTATATGATTATGTTTAAAGATACTGCATTTTTTTTAGGATTTTTAATTAACTTTTTCTGTCTTCTCTTTTTCACTACTGTCTACGTGATTGTTAACTCGTTGCTAAATGCAACGCCCCCTGAAACGTCATAATTCAAACATCTTATCTACTAATCATTAAATTGTATAACAATTGGAAAGTAAATAATTTCTCGCGCACGATATTAAACTGTAAAACTCGGTAAAAAAAAAAATAATAATAATAATAAATACAGAAAAAGACATAAGCACAACAAAAGCAACAATCAAATGGCAAGGACAAGGACATTCCATACGCAATAGGGCAGGCCATACTTGACAGGCGATGAATTAAGCAGACCAGAAAATAACAAGTAAACATAAAAAAGCAATTCATTTAAATATTCCTTTTCAACTATTTACGTATTTATTTATATCTAGTCTTTTTAATGATTTAAATATTTTATTTCTAGTTATGAGCTTTTTCTTCGCCAGCTTGTGGAAAAATCTATAAATTTATATTTTGTAATTTCGAGTGCCCTTCCCCTTTGGGGAGAGAAAAACCGTTGCTCAACAGCAGCAAGTGGACAAAAATACCAATACACCCCCTTCCTTTTACGCACACAGTACTGTTGCCCCTTTTGCGGCAGCCGACAACACACATATTGCTTCTTACATAATGGCCTCTGCAATACCTTTTGATTGTTGCCGAGTGGTATGGACACAATACGGCCACCCACCCGACCGCGCGCCTCCACAATGAGAAAATCATCGCAGCCGTTTTGCAACAGATGATTGGCAGCGGACAGGCCAGCCATGCCAGCGCCAATTATCAGAACCTTCACATTTGTGATGCCGCCCTGAGCGGTACCCGTGCTGGATGCAGCGGCGCCATTGTCGGCGACACGACCAGCAGCCGCTGCTATATCGGCCAGGCCTTCCTCTGTGGGCGATGGCGCGGGCGTTTTAGGCTCTTTATCAACCATTTTGTTTTGTTTCACATATGCAAATCAATTTTGCTGTTTTTAATCACTTTTGGTGTTTTGCGATTTTATTTTTACTCCTCATAGCGTTTTTGCTTGAACTTTTCTATATCGCGACGGCCACGAACTGTTTTGACGTTTCGTTGACAGCGCCGTCGAGCATGGTTGGTTAGGCAAATGGGGGCGGAGATTCCGCGCAGCTGTTTAAAGCAACAAAAATGCGTTGATTAACTAATTTATCTATGAATTCCAACATCAATATTTTATTTATTATTGCATTTAATTGCTTGTTTTAAATTAATTTGCACATATTTGCCACAAAATTAGAAAAACAGCTGTGCATGGCCAAGCTGCCAGACGGTTGATTATTCGATGTAAACAACTTGTCCATGCTGCCAGACAGTTTATAGCTAACACACTGGCAGCACTGACCTAACATCTGTACAAGTTGCATTCCTGTGTTTGTTTTTTTTTTTTTATTTCACCACAACACCACAAATGCATTAAAATTAAGTGCAAAGTAAGCCGCGCAGTTCGCCAGTTGAGAGTGCGAGCAATGTGAATACTCTTGGGTCAGCCAGCAATAACGAGCTTCAAAATGACTGACGCCTACTGTTTGTCCAATTTTATTGATTTTTCACAGCATTTGTCACAGCCGCTGAGGCACAGCAATCGGATCAAGGTAACAATTTTGTTGTAACTTAATACAGAACACGCTAACTCAGTACTTGTAAACTCTAAACTACAGTATACGTGCTTTGATATCTCTGACAACTATATCATCTTTGGGGCCACCTCTGGCTCGCTGTACTTCTTCAATCGTGGCGGCAAGTTTATGCACCTGATCCCCAATAAGCATGGACCGGTCACACACCTGAGCATCTCGGCCAACAACAAGTATGTGGCCTTTTCCACTCAGCGCTCTCTGATCTGCGTATATGCGGTAAATCTATCCGCTCAGGCCGCACCTCAAGTGATTGTCACCCACCTGAGTACCGATCAATCGGTGCAGGTGACCTGCATCCATTGGACGCCGGATGAGAAGCAATTCTACTATGGCGATACACGCGGCCAAGTCAATCTGGTACTCCTCTCGTCCTTCATTGGACATAGCCTCCTGTTTAACATGTCCGTGCATCCACTTTTGTATCTGGATTCGCCCGTTGTTCAGATCGATGACTTTGAATCTCTGCTCCTGGTGTCCAACAACACCAAATGCATCCTATGCAACACCGAATACGAAGAGTACAAGCAGGTAAACCACAATGTTCTGGAAGTTAGTCATGTCCTACTACTTAGCTAATTGGGTCTTTTGCTTGTAGATTGGAAACCGTCCACGGGATGGCGCGTTTGGCGCTTGCTTCTTTATATCGCCACACGAGTCAGTGCAGCCGTCGCGCATTTATTGCGCACGTCCTGGCACGCGCATCTGGGAAGTGGACTTCGAGGGCGAGGTAGTGCAGACGCATCAGTTCAAGAGCGCACTGGCCACCGCACCAGCCCAGATCCTTAAGCCCAGCGAAGGGGATGCTTTCAGCGATGACGACGCGGATGCACTGGAGGCCAACGATGAGCTGCTGGACTATCAGCCGCAGAACCTGCAATTTGCCAAGCTGCAACGCCTGGGCGAAAACTTTCTGCTGAGCTATACCGAACTGGGCCTCTACATCTTCGATGTGCGCCACTCGTCGGTGGTGCTGTGGTGCAATAAGTTCGAGCGCATTGTCGACTGCCGCGTCGCCGGCACCGATATCTTTGTTTTCACCCAGACGGGCTCGCTGTATAGCGTGCAGCTGCAGACACTGCAGGCGTATGCCCTCTCCCTGATACAGCAGTCGAAGCTGCCGCAGTGCGCCCGACTGCTGCGCCAGCACGTGAAATACTTTGCGGACAAGGCGCGCGAGCACTACGAGCTGAAGCAGCTAAATCAGCTGAAGCAATTACTGATCGAGCGCCAGCAGTATGAGCTGCTCAATGATATATCCGTGATCTTTGATGCCATTGCCCAGTGCACGGGCAGCGCCATGGACACGCACAGCTCCGGCGGCAGTTCGGCGACAACAGAGAGAAGTCTCAGCACAGCTGGCGGAGGGTCTGGCGTTAGAAGTGAAGATAGCGTTGGTGGTGTCGCCAGTCCAGCGCCCCCTAAAGGCGTTTATGTGCTGGAGAATGCATTCTGCGATAATCTGAAGCAGCCGCCCAAGTCGGGACATTTCAAGGATGCGCTGCTCACGGTTACAGGCAAATTTGGTAAGAACATCATCAAGTACAAGTTCAACATATTCGCTGAGGAGCAGCAGCAGCAGCTTGTCCGCGAGCTAATCCCCGCCAGTGAGCGCTCGCTGCCCTTTAAAGACATCAAGGCACGCTACGAGACGCAGGATGAGGATGAGGAGATTGTATGCCGCAGCAGCAGCAACGGACGCAAACGGCAGCCGGCAGCTACGCCACACATCAGTCCGGAGGAGAAGACCATTTACAATCTGTACTTGATCCACAAGGGCGCCAAATTCAGTCGCACCCATTGCGTGGAGCGCTATCGCGCCGTCTTCGATGAATATGCGGCCAGCGAGCTGATCCAGCTGCTGGCGAAACTCGGCCAGGTGATGCTGGAGCATGGCGACAGTCCAGAGCAGGCGCAGCGTAATTGCTACGAGATGTACTTCAACTATCTCAATCCGGAGCTCATCTGGGAAATGGATGATGCCACTCGAGATTATATAGCCGACGGCTTGGCCCTATTGAATGCCGGCGTCGAGATTGTCCGCTGCAGCCATTGCAACTTCCCTCTGCGCTTCCACAACGCCTGCCAGTACCATGAGCTGGGCGCGGTGCTGCTACGTTACTTCTGGTCGCGTAACGAGCAGCTGAAGTGCTTCGATGTGCTGCAGTCGATGCCGGCGCTGCTCGATGTCCTGGCCAAGTTCTATCTGGCCGAGCACAATTTGGACAAGGTTGTGCCCATTGTTTTCAACTATGGTTCCGTGGAGCTGTTACAGGATGTGGGCAGACAATTGAATGGCGCCGCCTGGGCACGTTGCTTTGAGCAGTTTGTGGAACTGCAACGTGGACGCCTGACCTGTGTCAACTGCGAGTGCGTCAGCACTGTGGAAGAGGAACAGCTCTCACGGCATTTCTTCTACACATGGAACTGTTTCCTTAACATCGCTCTAGATCATCTGACAGCCAGCGAGACGCTGGCCTTGATCTTCAAGTGGAGCTCGTATATACCCAGCGATGCGATCGATCGTGAGTTCTACAAACGCTGCCTACTTAAGGGCTGAAAGTCATATGAAATATATATAATACATAGATTTATGAATATTATGCAAATACTGATATTTATTGTCGAAATGTTAGCTGCATGCAACTTGCAACATTCCCTGGCCATGATCCTAAAAATATATGTTTACATATAAACTTTATATATATAAAGTTTAGCTAAAGCTACAGCCAATACCAAAAGCATTTATTCTATATAAACATATATATAAATATATATGTATATATGTACACATAAAACCGAAACAAAAATATATATCTATTTACATATGTACCAATTGTATGAGTTTGTGCATAAATTACAATAAAAACCAATATCACTATATACTTCTCTACATACGTCTTTGAATTTAGCTTCAAATTTTCGAAGCCTAAAAATTAAACAGTCTACACACGAACATAACACAACAATTTTTGGCATAATTCATACAAAATTTCAACTGCAAAGCAAGCATTTCTCGAAACTAACAACATCAGCCCCACCATAGCGAAGACATCCATCATAGCACTTAAAGTTGTTGAAGGTTTTCGCAAAAACGAACAAATTTGAGGCGAGTTGCGGACAGAAACGCTTGAAACGATAATAAATAGATAGAACGAGGTAGATATAACGGCTACCAGGATTTGATATGACTATCGAACTACACAATCGTGAAGTGAAGCGGAAAGCGTGAAGTGAACAACAGTCTGGTAACGCATTTTGCTAAGCAACTCTGTAATAATCAACTCTGGACACTGCGATAACGATAAGTAACAACGCTGACTCACGCACTCCCATCACCAATTCTCCACCATTTTTCCCGTGTGGCTCGTTTTCGCCGTTGGTGTGGATAAGACACGCGTCTGAAAGCAGAAAAAACGCGAAAGCGTACTAAAACCATACATTTTAAGAACAAGCATAATATCTGGCTTGTGATTGTCAGTAGGCACAAGTAGGCCTAGTGAAGCATATAAAAATTAAAACTTCTTATTGGTCGAAGAAACTTATAAAAAGTACAACCTCGCTCTCTCCACATAAGAACGTAGTAGCTTGTGGAACGTAAGAAGTTGTCGAAAAAAAAAAAACTGAAAGAAAACGTATAGACACGAAGTGCAACACAAACATACATAAAGAAAGAAACACAATTTACAATTAATTTTTTTTGGAAATTGCAAGTGTGCGCAAAATCGAGAACAATTCCAAAATTTTCCTAAACGGAAAGAAAGAAAAAACAAGCAAGTGATTGGAGGATAATATGAGTAATGCTATTAACCAAAATGGCACAGGTCTAGAGCAGCAAGTAAGTATTGTACTTGTATATGTGAATGTAAAATGTGGTTTGGTGCAAAATAGGGTACATAATGGAAAAAAAATGTACATTTACCTTTGGTGTATTTGTGTGTGTGTATGTGTGTTAGCTGTGTCAGCTAAAAGTGTGTCTTTGTGTGAGTGTGCATGTGTGAAAGAGTCGGCGATGCTCATGCGGTCTGCACACGATTATTGAACAGTGTTCAGTCGAGTTCTAAAAAAATTTTTTTTATTGATTTCATAACATACAAAACGTTTGACCGTGGAATTTGGTGTGCTTTTACATATTGCAACGAGCAGTGGCTCGCATATGTATTTATGTGTGTATGTGTATGTGTGTGCTTGTAAGTTCATTTCATTTGTGTAATTTCTTTGTATAATTTTTAGGCTGCCTCCAATTTGACATGTTCATTGCTGTGCAAATGTACATGTATGCGTGCGAGAGTTTTTCTGCTAATGTGTGTGTGTATGTGTAACCGCAATTCTAAACCAGTGCATACCAATGTGTGAGTGCGAGATTGCGGCGTTCTCTTTGCATTGCTCTCTCTCACACACTCATGTGGAAGCTGAGTATATTTGTAAACAGGGTTGCCAGACGGTCATGTAATCTGTGCATTGTGGGCGACTTCCACCATACGGTAGACAATAGCACCCTGTAACTGATTATATGGCGAAAACAAGTTCCACATTTGTATAGTTTCCATTGCAACTCATTCCACGAAAACGTTGTGCGTACGTATGAATTTTGCCTGTGTGGGAGGCTTCCCATTGTTTTTGTTGTTGCTAAGTCAAAGTCAAAGCCTCTCAAACTAGTTGCGCTTATTTTTCGCAACTATTGTGTGTGTCTCTGTTTGAAAGGTTGTGTTTGTGTGTGTATGTGTGTGTGTGACACTAGGCGTCGCGCTTCACATAAAAAATACATGTTGCTAACCGGGAACACCAATAGAATTGCGAGAGATTGTGATTTGTATATATGTATGTGTGTCTATGCTCAAACGAGAAAAAACTTGTTATTACAATTCTCTCTTTGGCAACGGCTTGGAATTCGTTGAACTTGATCCCGTGTATGTGTGTGAGTGCTAAAACAAAAAGTCAATGCTTTTGTTTATTTTAAACGCTAAGAAAATCGTCCATACTGAAAAGTTGCATTCACGATTTATATTGATTACGAATATATATATTCTTACATATATTGTGGTAGATTAATTCGATTGATTTTATTCCATTCTAATTATTCATCATGATTTCTTTAGGTTGCTGGTCTGGACTTGAATGGCGGCTCGGCTAACTATAGCGGCCCCATAACAAGCAAGACTTCCACTAATTCGGTCACTGGTGGCGTTTATGTGCCCCCGCATCTTCGAGGTGGTGGTGGCAACAACAACGCGGACTTAGACAATCAGGGTCAAGGCTTTGATTCAGGTGCCGCTCCGCAAAGGGAGCAGCAGCAACGCGGCGGTGACTATCGCAGAGGCGATCGCGGCGGAAATCGCGGCTACAATCGCCAGAGCGGCGAGTACGGAAGTTTTGGAAGCGGCGGCGGCGGTGGTAGGCGCGGTGGTGGCAATCGCTACGAAGATAATTATAACGGTAAGTCTAAACAGCTATTTTTAGAATTGTACGAATTATCCTTTTCCATACAGGAACATCACATGGATTGAAGGGAACTTCATAAAAAACTAATCAACTTTGTAATGTTTTGTTCGCAGGTGAATTTGACTCGCGCCGCGGCGGCGACTGGAATCGAGGAGGCGGACGCAACTTTGGGGATCGACGCGGACCATCTTATCGCGGAGGCGGAGGTGGTGGGGGCTCCTCTGGAGCTGGAGGCAATGGCCTCAACGAGCAATCTGAGGAGGTTCAGCAGCCACGCAATGATCGCTGGCAGGAGCCTGAGCGCCCAATTGGTTTTGAGGGGGGCTCCAACGAAGGTGGTCCACCTGGCGGCAGCGGCGGTGGTGGCGGCAACAGAGGCTACGGCAATCGCGGGGGCGGCGGCGGAGGTGGCTACAACAACAGTCGTTGGAAGGAAGGCGGCGGAAGCGGCGGGGGCAACATCGATTACACAAAACTGGGACCACGCGACGAGCGCTTGGAGCAGGAACTCTTCGGTGTGGGCAACACGGGTATCAATTTTGACAAATACGAGGATATACCCGTGGAGGCGACGGGCCAAAATGTGCCGCCGCACATCACATCGTTCGATGATGTGCAGTTGACGGAGATCATCCGGAACAATGTGAATCTGGCGCGTTATGATAAACCGACGCCGGTGCAAAAATACGCAATACCAATTATAATCAGCGGACGAGATCTGATGGCGTGCGCGCAGACCGGCTCTGGCAAGACGGCCGCCTTTTTGGTGCCGATTTTGAATCAGATGTACGAGCTCGGATTATCTGCGCCGCCGCAAAGCAATCGGCAATACAGCCGACGCAAGCAGTATCCGCTGGGCCTGGTGCTGGCGCCGACCCGTGAGCTGGCCACCCAAATCTTTGAGGAGGCCAAAAAGTTTGCCTATCGCTCGCGCATGCGTCCCGCCGTCCTTTATGGCGGCAACAACACCAGCGAACAGATGCGCGAACTGGATCGTGGGTGTCATTTGATTGTGGCCACGCCCGGTCGCTTGGAGGATATGATAACACGTGGCAAGGTGGGATTGGAGAATATACGTTTCTTAGTGCTCGACGAAGCCGATCGTATGTTGGACATGGGCTTTGAGCCTCAGATACGTCGCATTGTCGAGCAGCTGAACATGCCACCGACGGGCCAGCGACAGACATTGATGTTCTCGGCCACATTCCCCAAACAAATCCAGGAGCTGGCCAGCGATTTTCTCAGCAATTACATTTTCTTGGCCGTGGGACGTGTTGGCTCCACTTCGGAGAACATAACACAGACCATATTGTGGGTCTACGATCAAGACAAACGTTCGTATTTGTTGGATCTGTTGTCATCGATACGGGATGGGCCCGAGTACTCGAAGGATAATCTGACGCTCATTTTTGTGGAGACAAAGAAGGGCGCCGATTCTCTGGAAGAGTTTCTTTATCAGTGCAATCATCCGGTCACCAGCATTCATGGTGATCGCACCCAAAAGGAGCGTGAGGAGGCGTTGCGCTGCTTCCGATCGGGTGATTGCCCGATTCTCGTTGCCACTGCTGTGGCGGCACGTGGTCTGGACATTCCGCATGTGACACATGTCATTAACTTTGACCTGCCTACCGATGTGGAAGAGTATGTGCATCGTATTGGCCGCACAGGTCGTATGGGTAATCTCGGTGTTGCCACATCGTTTTTCAATGATAAGAATCGCAACATTTGCTCCGACCTTCTGGAGCTGCTGATCGAGACCAAGCAGGAGATACCTGGCTTTCTCGAAGAGATGCTTAACTCAGATCGCGGCCATGGTGGCGCCAAGCGCCGTGGTGGCGGTGCCGGCGCACGTTACGGCGGCGGCTTTGGCTCCCGCGATTATCGTACATCTTCTGGCGGTGGTGGCGGTGGTGGTGGTGGCGGCCGCAGCGGTGGTGTTAGCGGCGGCGGTGGTGGCGGCGGTCGCAGCAGTGGTTCCGCCGGTGGTGGTGGTGGCAACTATCGCAGCAATGGAAACTCGTATGGTAAGTTTGGTGAGTGAACTGCGCACATTATTATCCTACCTTGTTGCATATATTATGATAATGCTTATGTTGTGGCAGGTGGCAGCTCTGGCGGCGGCGCCTACGGCGGTGGCTCGTACGGTGGATCGTATGGCGGCGGCGGCGGTGGTGGCTCTCACTCAAACAATGGGCCGGACTGGTGGGGTCAATGAGCAAGGCTTGTCAGCCATAGAGGCCGGCAGCATCCACAGCGACATCATCCCGACTAGCGTCAAATAGAAATGCAAACAAAATAATAGGAGCGACACATACAACTACAGCGAAGAGGATTAACAAACAAGAGCCCGGAGTGAGGAGTAGAAGTCGAAGCAGGAACAGAAGAAGAAAAAGAAACAGAGCCTCAATGCGAAAATCTTTTGATAAACCGATCGATATAACAACTTAATTATATTTGCATATTATATGTATCATCTATATATGTATACAGATATGTATATATATCTATATATATAGGGGCAGCAAATGTGAAAGAGAAACTGTCTGTGCGCAGCGCAACACTCAACACACATACAGACACACACACACACTCACAAGCACATATAATCACGCCAATACAGCAACACATCCATACACACATTAACAATAGCAAAAGCATTACAAATAAAATAAAATTGTTTAAAAATAATATTAAACATAAATATAGAAATATGCTGGAAAAACAACACAACCGTTACACAAAAGATGAACACTGAAAAATTGTAGTTTATAAAACATACACACAAACAAACACACGCATAAAAATAGGTTCATTAACAAATAATATTAATAATACAAATTTATATACATACATAGATACGCTAGAGCAAAGCTACACGGGAACGTGAGCCAGCAACATTAAGGATTTATTATAAAAGGGGCAATTTATGAATTACTAGTGTCCTTTCCCCAACACACGCATCCTCTCGCATATTTTTCTCTTTCAAATATTGAAATCGATAAAGATAATACAAAACCTAGAACTTTAAATGATAAGCGATTTTCAATTGATGAAACATTGAACATCAATGATTTTAAAGATAACGAAAAGATAACTATTATATATATATATATGCGTATACATATATACATATGTATAAAAATATAAATCACGAAATACGAAAAAAACATTTAAAAAAAAAAAAAAAAAAAAAAAAGTTTGCTAAAAAATAAATTGAATAATTTAGCAAATGGAAAATCCGAGAGTTTTATTCGATAATTTAAAATAAAAGTTCTCAAAGTAACGAAGTTGGAATCTATGCGAGTTAACTGGAATTCCAGTTTTTGATACACTTGGCGAGAGGGCATTATGAATTTGTAGTTGAGTTTGGAACGAATTGATCGACAGCAGAGATACCTACTATATGTGCTATTGGTAGACGACAGATTTATAGAAGTAATTATAGACATCAGTCGCGTCTACAGCAATGTTTAATAGTCATTAATTTCACGACTATTCAGAATAACAGAAATTGTTTTAGGCAATGCATACAGAAGTGCGAGGGTATGAACTATTCGAGACTCTTTCCCTATAAGAGATCAACAATGAGAGAAACCTGGAGAGTTGACTGGCCTTGCTTGACTTTAACTTATTATGATGATCTGGTAATCGACGAGTAGAGTATTCGCATATGCGCAGCTGTTCTTTATTCATTTGGAATTCCAATTTGTCAGCGGTGTGTGTGCGCGGATTCCATAAATAAAAGAATTTCTGGTGGCGCACGTTATGTCCGCTCCTCAATTAACATAAATTTGAACGAAAGCTCGCCAGATCGTTGGGCTGGCAGCCGAGTCTAGCCACTAATTTGATTAGATTAGGCAAACCTGATTATCTGCTGGGCTGCATTGCAAAATGAGGAGCTGCCTTCTTTCAGCTGCTGGGGCTGCTGCTGCTGCTGTTGCTTTGTAGCTAAATGGACGCGTCTGCTTGTTGGCTAAAGGTGTGTTTGTTTATGTGAGTGTGGAATCTATTTTATTTATTTTTATTTTTTAACGTTCGGTGTGCTGGCAGTTGAACGCGCAAAATGCAAAAGTCACAACGTGAGCAATGCTGGACGCTGCTGCTGCTGGGCGCGCTGATAATCTCGTTTGGAGTAATGTTTAGTTATTGGTATCTGGTGCCGCATCAGCTACCCATCTGGCAGTTATTCGGACACAACGAGAGTTCAGACGGGGAGCCGGCAACAGCGGAGTTGAAGTTCTTTATGCCGCCACAGCTAATACCCAAGGAGCTGAAGCTGAAGCGTGGTGCGCCCTATGTATATCAGATATTTCCATAGATATTTCAGACATACATACATTTACATACATATATAGTTTGTATTCTTAAACTATGTTAACAATAAATTACAAGTATCATTTATTTTAGAGTAATTGGTGGCTTGGTTAGCATCACAATCACATTGGAGATACCGTTACTATGTGTTGGTCATGTCAAACGTCTGACTTTTGATTGAGCGCAGCGTAGCCAACGGGAATCTCTTTCATTTCGGTTTGCAGGCACAGAAACTCGCCGCCAATGCACATTATGGTCGCTGTTATTACATTGAGTAGCCACCATGAGGCGCTCGCTGGAAAGGAGCGGTTGTACCACCAGCAGATTATCAGATGCAGCAAATGGGACGTGCAACTGTGGAAGAGTGAAAGAGTACAATGAAAACCAATAGAGTGATAGAGCGAAAGACAGGGAGTTTGTATGACTGATAGCTACCTGAAGTCGAGGCACAGCTTTGCCCGACGCACAATGCACCAGAGCGCCAAGGAGGCCACAAAAGCGTTCAAGACAAATGCGCAGATAACCAGCCGCCCACCCAGATCATATATATGTATTTCCTGGGAGAAAAGTGCATTAGAAAAAGCAACGCACATCAATTAATATGCCACTCACATGGTATTCGAATAGATGATCCAATGTATAATTGTCGCCAGACAACTTGTTGGCTATAAAAACGAGCAGGCCAAGTGTGAAGTACACGCAGCACTGCATGGACACAATCTGTGATGTTAGCAGCGTGGGATCCCATTGCGTGTTTCGAAATGTGCCACCTTTCATGTTATTATTATTTAGAATTGTTGTTATCTATTTTTGTCGCATATGTGCACTTTCTATTGGTCCAGAGATGCAAAAACAAAACGGTAAAGCCAAGGCTGACTCACCCTTGGAGTCAACTAGTTCCGCTCATAGCTAGTTCAAAGTAGCTCAGCTGTTAATGGAAGCGAAGCCATGATGTACATATGTATGTAGGTCCAGATCATTTTATATATATGTATGTAGGGAATTATATATCTAATTATATACACATACACAGGAATTCAAACACATCGAACACACAAAAAATTGTTCTTAAAAAAATTGATTTTATTTCTACAAATCCAAACCACACAATTGTTTCAACAGGGCAAGCACCTGTTAACTACTGTTAACAAAAGTACAATATTAATATTTCAGTTCTTATCGTTCTTGAACATGGTGCAAGCAACGCGGAAATTTGTAAGCTTAAAAATTTAGAGATCTTGAATTAAATATTGAACAAATTATTAAAATTCCAGAGTCGCCTACGATCGTTAGGCATTGTAACAGCAGGGGCCGCAGCCCTGTTCATGGGCATAACAGCCTATAATAATCAGGATAATTTTTACCGCTCATTTGTCATGCCCGTTGCTCGTATTTTGCCCGCTGAAACAAGTCACAACTTGGCGGTGTGGGCCTGCAAGCACCGCCTCTATCCTGCCTCCGATTACACAGATGATCTAAATTTGCATTGCTCCTTCTTTGGTCGCCTCATTAGCAACCCAATTGGCATTGCAGCCGGCTTCGATAAAAACGCCGAGGCCATAATGGGACTAAAGGATTTGGGTTTCGGCTTCATTGAGGTGGGCAGCGTGACGCCTTTGGCCCAGAGTGGCAATCCAAAGCCGCGCGTGTTTCGTTTAGTTGATGACCGGGCCATAATCAACCGCTATGGCTTCAATAGTGAGGGCCATGACGTGGTGTTGAAACGGTTGAGAGATCTTCGTCAGCGCGAAGATTTTAATGCTATTGTGGGAGTAAATTTAGGCAGAAACCGCGACACGATGACTCCAATTGGCGACTATGTGAAAGGCGTACGTACCTTTGGGCCCGTCGCCGATTATCTGGTCATCAATGTCAGCAGTCCTAATACGAAAGGACTGCGGGAAATGCAGAGTAAAAAGGAGCTCACAGAACTGCTGGAAGCAGTAAATGCAGTCCGCGGCAAACTTAAGGTCAACACAAATGTGCCCATACTGTTGAAGCTGTCACCCGATCTCGATCACCGTCAGCTGATTGACATAATCTCCGTCATCAACAACAAGAAATGTCGCGTCGATGGTTTAATTGTCTCCAATACCACGCTCTCCCGAGACAATATCAACGATATTTCATTGGCTAACGAGGCGGGCGGCTTGAGTGGCGAACCGCTACGTGAGCGCTCCACTAAGATGATTGCTCAAGTCTACTCGCTAACCAAAGGTAGTATTCCCATCATTGGAGTGGGTGGTGTGGCCTCTGGAAATGATGCGTTCGAAAAGATCGAGGCTGGTGCCTCGTTCGTTCAGATCTATACAGCTCTCGTGTACGAAGGGCCCGAAGTCGTGGAGCGCATCAAAAGCGACCTCTCGCTGCGGATTAGTGAATTGGGCCTGGCCAATGTTGGACGTGCTGTTGGTTCCAACTACTCCAAATATTTGCGTTAAGACATCGTATAAAAACAATAAAATTGTTTGTATATTTCTCATAACAATGCGTTACTTCACTTAAAGCTATGCGTTCTCGTTGGCGCGTTGGACGTTGAGTACACGTCCATCGAGAAGATGTGTATTCTGGTTGCTGGCACTGTTGTAGGCGTCTCTTTGGCTGAATATCACGAAGCCATAGTACTTGGACAAGCCCAGTTGCTTGTCAAAGACCACCTCCGCGTTAGCCACATGGCCGAAGCGGGAGAAGTACGTACGCAGCTCCTTGCTGCTTATGGTCCAGGGCAAATTTCCCACAAAGAGCTTGTAGGTGCTTCGAGCTGCGGTGCCGGACATAACTTTTTTATTTACGTAAGTATTTTTTGAATTTAAAACTAGAACTTATTTTTTTATTGTTTTAACATTGCTCTTCAATTTAAAAGCTAGTGTTACTGTTATTAACAGCATTCAGAATATCAATAAATCGAAGATAAATTGTTATTTTATTTCGTTAGAGTTTTAAATTACTTCCATTTGAACTATTGTAGAATACAAAATAGAATAGTTTTTGTTTTGGGTAATAGCTCAATTTTAAATTATATTTTGAGCTTTTTTAAAATTTAACAGAGCTATGGACAGCGCTACAGAATGTGGCTGTACATTAGTTCTGCTAAATTGTGTTTTTGATTCTTTCAGTATTTATCGATAGTGTTTTCAGTTTTGTTACTTGTGGTCACATTGCATATTTTGTTGCATTGCTGCCTTTTTAATGTTTTTTAGTCTATTTTTATGTAAAACGAAAGTGTGAAAATGCAAGACGTATAGATGTGCACTCGAGAATTAAATAAATAATTGAGCTGTGCACTTAAGTGTGACCACCTATAAAGTGTGCGGCGAGTGGTTATGGTGTAGTATATGTTTTGCCAGTAGTTTTCGCTGCGAAAATATTTTCGGCGCCCCCTTTAGAGCGACGTGTATTTGGGGCGCGGCGCCCACCTGAAAAGAAGAAAACGACGTCAATAAAGCGACGTTCATAATAAAACTGCTATCGGATTTAGCGCCAGGCATACACAATGGCAGAAAGGCCCAAAAATTTGTTTGCAAGTGAGTAATTTTTTGCTTAACTCTGCCCACGCACACGAATACTCACACAAACTCACAACTCACATATATATATTCGCTGTTACATACACGCACACACGCGTATGAACACAGCACTGACGCATTGGTTGGGCGCAATGCAGTTGATAAGCCGTAGATCATAAATAACCAATTTTCCACACCTTATCACAATGATAGCTGGGCCTAGCCGTTCCCGTATACCGCCTGACCAGCTTAATCTGAACCAGTTGAGCATACGCCATCCGCCTTCGTCAACGTCGTCTACGTCGTCGGGTTCTACGTCGTCTGGCTCCAGTTCCTCGTCGCAGCAAAATAATGTGGCTATGCGGTTTAGCAGCCAGACCAGCTTTGTGCCAGCGGTGCCGGTACCAAGCTGCAGCAGCCACAGCAATAGCACGAGCTGCACCAGCGGCATTGGTAGCAGCACTGCCACAGACCGTCACCGGGAGCGGATTAGGCAGCAGGCCTGCGGCAAGTTACAGTTTGGTGAAGGTGCTGCTAATACGCATCAATTCACATCGGATGATCTGGAGGATTTGGGAGAGATTGGACGCGGCGCATTTGGTGCAGTAAATAAAATGGTATTCAAAAAACTGGACAAGGTAATGGCTGTGAAGCGCATACGCTCTACGGTAGATGAAAAGGAGCAGAAGCAGCTACTCATGGACTTGGAGGTGGTTATGAAGTCAAATGAATGCATCTACATAGTGCAATTCTATGGGGCACTCTTCAAGGAGGGCGACTGCTGGATATGCATGGAGTTAATGGACACATCGTTGGATAAGTTCTACAAGTACATATTCGAGAAGAAGCAGCGACATATACCTGAATCCATACTGGCCAAGATCACGGTGGCCACAGTCAATGCCCTAAACTATTTAAAGGAGGAGCTCAAGATAATACATCGTGATGTTAAGCCGAGCAATATTCTGTTGCATCGTCGAGGCGATATTAAACTGTGTGATTTTGGCATCTCTGGTCAGCTAGTCGATTCGATAGCCAGGACCAAGGACGCGGGCTGCAGGCCGTACATGGCGGTAGGCTTGCAATCAGTACTTAATCTTCTTTATCAGCTCTATATATGTGTGCTTTACAGCCGGAACGCATTGATCCGGAGCGGGCCAAGGGCTACGATGTGCGAAGCGATGTTTGGTCTCTGGGTATAACATTAATGGAGGTGGCCACAGGCAATTTCCCCTATCGCAAGTGGGATTCTGTGTTTGAGCAGTTGTGTCAGGTACTTGCTCGTCATTTGAAAATCAATAGATGTTATAATCCATATTTCTTGTAGGTTGTGCAGGGTGATCCGCCGCGTTTGCATACATCCTACAATGGCATAGAATTCTCAATGGAGTTTGTCGAGTTCGTTAACACTTGGTAAGAGTTGAATATACCCAGCAGATTGTCCAATTACTTATTCCAATTAATATGCACAGCCTAATCAAGAAGGAGAGCGACAGACCCAAATATAGCCGACTGCTGCAGATGCCATTCATACGGAGAGGCGAGAATAGCCACACTGACGTCGCCGCCTATGTGGCTGATGTTCTCGAGTCAATGGAAAGCGATGGCATTACGCAGTTTACAACCAACCAGCCCGCGGAAAGTTAATCTGAAGCGAGTTAAACTAAAGTCATAAATTAACTAAGCAAAAACCAGTAGCAACAAAGGCAAATTATTAAAACTAAAAAAAACGCAAAAAAGAACACAAAAAAAAAAAAAATACAAATATTGTTGTCTACTTTGTAGCATTCGTAGTAAACGTAGCGCATAATTTGTTAAAGTCAAAACAAAAACAACTGCGTGTAAAAAAAAGAGTAAATAGAAAAAAAGAAAAAGAAATTAAACAATTTGTAAAGTGCGTATATATATATTTTGTATTTTGTGAGTACTGTCTAGGAGGAGAAGTGTCTCAAAGTGTTTTTGTTTTTGTTTGTAGCGAAACATAAACCAATGCCTTTTCTCTTTAAGTTAAGTGAGCTAGCATTTGATGAATTGATGGCTTCTGTTTTTAATTGTTACCCTCAAAACTGGCAAAAATGAAAAGCAATATTTGTAAAGATTTTACACACGCAAAGTAAATGGAAATTGTTACCTATGATGCAAACTATATGAGAAATGCCAACTACAAAATAGCCATAAACAATAAGAAAATGCAACATTCAATATATAATTTATATATTTAATTTTTTTGGATAACGAAATATTTTATGAACATTTGTGTTGCGTATGCAATTTAAGTAAAAGCTTTAAATATTTGCCAAGTGGCTGCATTTTTTATAAATTGTAGAGAAAATTTTGCAAATCGATACAAAATTATTTCAATAAAATATTATAATAATACTTAAAAACAAATCAACACACACATGCAGACCGACAACTACACAAGTTTTTATGCGTAGAAATTAGTTCGTAAGACTTAAAAAATATTTAGTAAAAAGAAAACAAAAAACAAAATACAATTGCAGCTTGTGAATTATATTAACAAAACAAAATAAATGTATTGTGCCTAAGTATAAAAACAAAACAAAAAGCGATATCAACTGAATACATAAACAATTTAATTAAATAATAATATGTAATACGCGGCAGTTAGTTTTTATGATATACCTTAGCCAAGCTTAAACACACACCACGCTTAAACACATGGCCATGCCACAGCCCTCTACACAAACACATGTGCACACACACACACACATGTAATTGCACCGTCTAAGCTCCCGTCTAAACAAAAAACAAAAACAAAAAGCAAAATATAACTTTGCCAATGTCTTTTCGATTAATATTTATGCAAGCGCCAATGTGAAAGGAAATGCAAAAGTTTATTTTGTAAACATATACATAAACTATATATTTATAGAATATGCATAATGAAGAGAGTGTAGAAAGAACAAGAAAAACTACAGCTACACACAGCGTCCAAAAAAAAAAAAGAAGAAAAAAAAAGAGTGTAATTAAATCCATAAAAAAAATAGACATTTGTGTGTGCCCGCAGCATATATATATTTATGTATGTATGTATGATAATTAAGCAATGCATATACATTTATTTACAGTTTTTATTCGTTACATTTTTGTTGCTGCATATACATACATGCGCATTAAACCGCAACAACAACTAGCAGCACAGTTGAATAATAAAAACACAAATATTTTTGTATTACGCGCGAAAGGAAAACAAGAAATGCTTTGCAATTTAATTTGCACAGGCAGACAGAGGTTTATTTTAAAAACGATGTAGTATGTAAATTCGGCTAGCCGAAGCTTGTATACCCTTGCCACAATTATTCGATAGATCGGCATACGGTTTCCCTGCCTCTGCAGATGAAAACGAATTTGATCTCGAGTGGATTTTCACTAATTTAAGCTGATCTTGAATCGAATGGAATGGAAAATCAAAGTGAAAAGGGTATGCATAAGGCAAAAACAAATCATAATTACAACTAGGATAAACTATCACTTAATATATATTTATAAACCAATAGAGTATTCGTACTTTCACATTCCCCTGCCGTAGAATCGTAGTTGATGCCTAATATCAATTTGCAGCATCTGTGTGTGTCTAACTAACTAACTAAATGATTAATGATTAACGACAATTGCATGTTGTTAATAACTGAGCTAATGCAATCGTTGAGTCGCGAGTCGTCATATTTTTGTTGACAATAAAACGTGTATAATTTGTTTAAATTATCAAATTATTGAATGTGTATATAGACATATACTACAAATACGATGATAGTTATATCTAATTGCTAACGTATAAAAATACACACACGTATATATATACATATATATATAAATAGTAGATATATACATAGATATAGTACTATGCTGTCAGATCAGTTCACGTAGTAAAGGCATGGAAGAAGAAGAAGAGCTCTCTTAAATATTAATTGGCTTTCAAATGATCCCATGGCCTTTTAACTAATACTTGCTTAATTTAAACAAAAGGAAAATCCTCTAAAATGATAACTCTAAGTGAAAAACGCAACGTCCATGAAAAATGAAAAGAAAATATTCGCATACAATTTTTAAACATACTCAGCTTATCCTCAAGAGTCAGCTCAAACTGTGCTGTCTGCCTAGGAATTTACCGAAGCTCGATATAGTATATATCATATATATATATATATGCATTCTATATATATATTTACAGTATGCATACTAGAGGACGGAGATGGGCTAAAACTTATTAAATGGGTCTCTACTGAACCCCAATCAGAGCTATTGCACTAAGTTTAAGCAAAGCAACTAACTAACTATACAAAAATAACCAGCTTATAACTCTCTCCACTCGACTCGAGACAAATCCAAATAAAGTGAAAACAAAACACCACAAGAGAAATTAAACATTAATAAAGTAATTAACAATAATTAATACTAATTATGGAATGAGTACACGTGCACGCACGGAAAACAAATTATATTGTTAAACTTAACTCGAAGAATTTGTATAAAGCAACAAATGGAATAGTGAATAAATAATACATTTGAAAACTCTAATCAATGGCG